ATTGGATGAAGTGCATGTGGCTGCATCCAACCCTCTGGGACGTCCTATCTTGGTTGCCCCCATCACCCACTTGTTGTATAGTGCACTCGAGTGTGTAAGGAAGAGCAGTCGCCTTTTGGAGTGTGTCGGTGTATATAATTAATTGAGCTGACAAGATTTGACTTAATTGGGCTAAAGGTGGTTGCATCAATCATTTACCAGAGACTATGATCTATTTGAGAACTACTTTTAATCCAAAGCCCTTGAAGGAGAAAGTTCAGGATGGAGAGCTTTGATCGTTAAAGGACTTCGACGATATAGTTGGCTACGATCATTTTACTTTGGTCAACTTTTTAACTTTTACCAAGATTGATGCCTCCATGTGGCTATTACGTGTACTTGGAATAGAACCTTACTGGTGAGGCGAAATAATATTCCCCCAAGTCTAAGTATGGTTTTCCATATACTGCGTGGACTTTGTTTGAAAATTTCATTTTTGGTTGGGGTGAATCTTTTTCTTATTGTTTGTGATCGTTTCCTTATTGTTTTTGATCGTTTTGTGATTATCCCAACATAATCCCTCAAGTTAAAGTGTAAATATTTATATTAGACTTGAAATTTAAATAAAAATTGTTCTAGTCAAGGCTGTGTATCTTGGTATTGTTGATCTTTCTAAAAGCAGTTAAAGTTCATTTGGATGAAGTTATCTGCTTGAAAAGTAATTGCCAAAGAGGTGGCTGGGGGCTATTTGTTTGAAGCTATCTCCAATGAGGAAATACTGAAGCAGTATACACTAATAGCCGAAGCAATCAATGTTAGAGTTGAGGTGTGGTGCCTCTACAACCTGTTGAGGCTATAAATGTGTGAACTCTATAATTGTATGTATTTTGAAATGTTGGAAAAGTGAATCGTTCTTAATTATTGGCCTAAATGATTTGCTGTTTTGTGTGTTTTCAAGAAAAGACATTTGGGACGATTCAACATTATATACACACAATTGTTGGCGCATTTAATGAGCAATGATGAGTGTTGCAGGTGGTTCCTCGAAGGGTAGACGGGTATGCACGCATGCATCAGACGCTTTGATGTGGTTTGTAGAATTTGAAATGGCGGACGCTATGGTTAGCTCAAATTAAATCTTAGATGAACAGTTGAATGGTTCGGATTGAAATCCAATGGTTGAGATTGATGACCGTCACCTATAAAAGGC